CGATCAGTGAACTGAAAGAGGTATTGGAAATCTCGCAGAAAGGAAATATTTAATAGATATATCATAATAAACAGTTCAATCAATATTTTATTAGAAAATAGAAGACATAGTTGTCATTAATCAAGAATTAAGCAAAAATCCATCACTATTTTTATCACTCAACTTCAAAACTGTAGCTTTTCAGCGAATATAAAATACGTCTTCCAACCAAATGTCATCTTTTAAAGGGACTCAAAATAATGTCGTAATTTATTTCTCAAGGTCTAAATTTCCCCAGAACGTTTCTCATCGAAGTTCGAACGTTTACACAATAAGCGGTTTCTTGACTAGTTCTTTTTATGGAGCTGCTATATACAATGACTGACAAGTTTAAGCATTGTTTATGGTTATTCTTTTCGTCATTTTCTCACAAGACAATTTTTAGGAAAAATAAAATAGTGAATCGTATTTAGTTGCAAAAGTAAAAATGTCGACAAAATGCGTGATAGTAAGTAAGTAAAAGGGAATTTTCTTTTTAATAAACTTAAATGATTATTATATGATAAAAAAATTAAACATTAAAATGCATTAGTTAAGTTTGTGGGACAAAATTCTGCCATTTTCGTGCCTGTATATTTTGTGATTAGATACTTATATTGTCTTTCAACTCTAAAAAAAATTATAAACTTAGTGAATTGGAAAAATTATATGAATCAAAAATATGAATAAAAATATTTTACGTGTGGATTAGAGTATATTTCCTACCTTTAATGTATAAAACACTGGCATCCTATTGGATACCTGATATTTATTGCAAAGTATGAAATGTGAAAATTATTCTTCCCTTTGCCTAGGTGGTGTATATGTTACCGGCAAAGTTTGAAATGCCGGCATTGTATAGAATGCCTAAAACTAGCCGGCAATGTTCAAAGCGATTTATATTTCACACATTTCCTAGGCATTCCTTAGAATGCCAAATGAGAAACAGGCAAAATATAAAATCTTCTGTGGCCATGTAAGTAAAGGTGATGAAATGGATATTTTCTGCAATATTTGTTTCTAAACTGAATGTGAAGAAAGACATAAATTATGTTTTGTACAACTTTCATTTTTCTTTACGCATTTTGAATAAATTTTTTTCAATGGCACTCTCATTATTTTTTCGGAATAACATTTTTATTTTTGAGAAATGAACATTATTTACATAATAACCCCATCAGTATGTTTTTTTCATACTTTGCATAAATAGCATTTGTCATTCTATAGAATGCCTAGGTATTTTACTCAATGCCTAGGGAAAGTATGTAATACTTCTGACATTTCATGCTTTGCCTAAAAACATCCGGCATTATATACCATGCCTAGGCATTCTATACATTGCAGGCGTTTCATACTTTGTCGGTAACATATACAATATATCGGCAATTTATAGAAGAACAAATGCGTACCTGCTAACTTTGACTTTATCCGAGGGTATTTTTTCTCCAATTGGTATGGACGTAACAATTAAGTTGCAATTCTAAGCAAAAATATTTTATTTTTTATTTTTCCAGAGCATGCACACCATTGTATCAAAGCCATGCGTTTCTCTACATTGTTAATTTATTTACATGTAGCGGTGGTGTGAATCATTTTAAATTAAATTAATAAATCCGAGAATTAAATCGAAATTTTTTTTTTCTGCCGCTTTAAATATTAAAATAAAATCTTATTCAAATTTTGTAAAAGTTGATAACTGAGCAAATGCCTTTTATTCTGATTAATGCAAAGTATAAAATAAAGGCATTATATTGATGACGAATGCTTTTGCAGTTAAGTAGGAATAAAAGGTCATTATAAGACTATTACTAAAAGACGTTCATTACTAAAAAATTGAAACGTTATTGTTCAAAAATGATAAAAGCTTGATGGCAAGGAGGCCTATTATAAGTGTCACTGGCAATGTATAAAAGTTCGGCATTCTATATATAATACATAGATATCTTTTTAAAAAGTTTGTTGTATTTCATATTTTATCTATATGTCATTCTACTGAATGCCTAGGTCATGTGAGAATGTTTGTCAATCATTTTACAATATCCTTAAAATGTAAGTGACAGATAATATATTACAAAACTGTTATCAGATCCTCATATTAAAACGTAGAGCAAGTAAAATGGCATATTACAGTTCATGTTTAAATGAAAAAAAAGAGTTAATTGGTTGAGATTTCCCTGTACTAAATGAAAAACCAAATAGAATGTATAATAAGTGTAAAATAGTAGATTAAAAAAAAGCATATAACAAATGAGATAAGTAAAAAATAATAATGAATATTATAAATACTAAGAGAAGATAAATTCTTTTTAGTAACATTCTTCTGAAAACGTAGAATGTATTTGGGACTTCTAACTTGGTGGCAAATTTAAAATTATCCATCAGTATTACTATTAATGAGGCTAGTAATTACCCCGATAAATACAAAATACCCAAATAAAACTTTTTTAGTTGTTTCTAATGACATTTGGACGAGGCCAGTCGTTGGCTTTTTGTGAATTAAGTCAGGAGGATGCGCCTTCCGTCTGACAACAGAACACAGCTTTGGTGAAAGTACGACTTAGCTCAGAACCCACACATCAATGGCAGCACCAATCAATCGTGAGGCCACTTCTCCAAATAAGACATAAGTCTGAAGGGGAAGAAAATTTTCTCCTGATCCCTGTACTCATGGCACTGCTCCGCAATCGACCACAAGACTTTCGATTTTTCAGGTTTTACAAGCACGTAAATCGCATTTACTAGGTGCGTCTTAGCGTAGTGGAGAATAGAATCCCGGTCCCTCCTGACCGAAGCCCGATTCTCTCACCACCACGGACTTAACTTCTTTTTGTTTCTCCTTTTATCTGATGTATCCCCTCTGCAAAGGATCAAAATTGCGATGGCATGTCTTCAGATCATTCTCAGGGATATTTCCCAGAACGTCGCCAGTAGCCCATTGTGCAGTTCTAGTACGACGTAAATAAAATATCTACGTACCTACCTATCTTTAGTCTAATGAGGAATACTTGGCTTAAATGTAGGATTTCGATCTTTGTGATAGCACAACTTTCAACTAGGATAATTACCCCAATAATTAGGATAACTACCCCAGTATGACTACCCTAGGATAATTACACCAATAATATCGAGATGTTGGTATTTTGTTCTTATTCTTTGTTCTAAAGAACACAGGACCAAGGGACATCACATTTGATAAAAAACACATAAAATATTAGAAAGAACTAATTTTTTAAAAAAATATTTTAAGACCTGGAGTAAAATATGATATTTTTTAAGAACCTAAAACTACCGGTTCTCAAATTATTCCTCCAAAAATGTTTACTTTAAATTAGCAAAAGGAAAAATATATTTTTTCTGTCTTAGAGGTCACTGGTTTAAAACGCATATAATTCTGAGATTTTTTTTCTTTCTAAAACCTTTTCATTATTGAGTTATGATGATAATTAATTTTTATTTATAGTTGTTGTGTGTGCAGCTACAGTACTTGTACTGATATACTTCGGAATGAGCGTGCTGCCTGAGATAGAAAATCAAAAAAATCCCCATTTCTACAAGGCTGCTGTTGTGGAAGTGGTGCCTTTCACAGACCCATCAATGTCCATCTTCGATGTCATTTTAGAAAACTTGAACACTTATCAGCTGGCAGCAGACCAAGCAAGTTTTCACGTAAGCCAATAAATCGTTGAGTTAAGGATAAGACATTAAATCGTTGTGTCAAGGATAAGCTATTAAATCGCTGTTTTAAGGATAAGCCATTAAATCATTAAGTTAAGGATAAGCCATAAAATCGCTGAGGTAAGGATAAGCCATTAAATCGTTGAGTTAAGGATAAGCCATTAAATCATTAAGTTAAGGATAAGCCATTAAATTGTTGAGTTAAGGATAAGCATTAAATTGTTGAGTAAAGGATAAGCCATTGAATCATTGCGTTAAGGAGCTGTCTGTGTACGGGCAAATACGCGAAAATCGGTTCTGACAGCGGAGGCATCAAAATACTACTACTACTAATAATAATAACTACCGTTTTTGACGATCAACGTGTCTACCTTTTAAAATTATCTTGTAAAACCTATAAACTTTAATGCTAACCAACAGCTACATTTAAATATTTTAATTCGTCAACCTCTCCTTCAATCTTAGCACCTTAATTAGTTTTAAACTATGTATTAACCAAATTTTTCACATTGTATTAACAAAATTATTCTAAATAAATACTGAGCTAACTATACAACACAACTTAAATTATTACTGAAGAAAACGCCCTCAAAAAATGAATCTAAAAAATTACTTAACACATAACTAATTTTTAGCACTACATATATTATTATTTAAGACAACCCGACAAAATAAAAAATAATCCTAGTGTTGCCAAGAGATTGAGAAATACTCGAGGCTAAGGCTCCTATTCTATCAAATTCAGTCTAATTCAGGGGCTCTACTCGAGGCTATTAGATAAATAGTTTATGTACAGATACAACAATAAAACCTTGAATTTTTGAATATTTTTCTCAGTTTAACATTTTTATTTTTATAATTACATAAGAAATGATATTTTTTTTTTTACATAAAACTGAACCAGCTTACGTATTGAAAGTGTAAAATATTTAACATAAAAATATTAATATAATATATAATTTAATCTAAAAATAGTTTTAAATTTTACTCAGAAGCAATCGGGGCCTCAATTTTGCCCATACCTCGTTATTAGTTTAAAGCTTGATGCTTTTAGATAATTAATAAGGGATATCTTTTAGATAATTAAATTGTACAATAGGTATGATTGTTAATGCTTATACATAATGAATTGCAAAACATACCTTATTCTGATTTTAGCCAAAATTATGCAGACCATGAGGAAGTCACTTTATTTCGTTTAATCGCTACAGTTGAACAGAAGGTTCACGTTAGAGATCAACGACATTTCTCCTCGTAGTTTTGAAACCAACTCAGAAAACAACCGAACTTAGTAAAGTATAAATCGGAACACACTCTCTTTCCACAATGAACATTTTTAATGAAATGAATCCGAATTCTCACCACCATGAAGAGAAAAACTTTGAAACCCTTTCACAATCACGTTAATGATTACATAAAACAAAAATTCACATAACTACTTTCACAAACTAATTAAGAATTTACTAAAGAAATTCATTTGTCACATTGAAACTGCAAAGGGATTAAACTGTCACATTTACTTCCCAAAGTTAATGAAGATATTTGCTTGTCACATAATAAAGGAATTTTCTTGTCACAGACATTAAAATTACAAGACATTCAAGGTGACGAGTTGATTTGTAGAACTACTTTATCAGAGACCTATGCAATCGATGAAATCTATGATTAATTATTTACTTTTTAACTGCAGTAAAGCGTTTCCTTATAAAGCTTAAATAATATTATTAATTTCAGTACTACACAATCTAGTAATAAATCGTCAGTATACTACTAAAGTCTATTTAAAACATTTTCGTAGTCATATCTATTTGGTAACTCTTTTTTTCGCTGTAGTATTCCGATGTTTAGTTTACGAAAAATATATAATATTTTATATTTAGTCTATTTAATCCTTTTAATGCTTTAAACAAAAGCAAATCAAATGTATCTCTTAGTATAGAATTTTATTAAAACTTATTACATATACCGAAATTATTACCTATACATCAGCGGAATTTCTTTTTCAAATATTCAAGGTGCTTCGATACTCGACCAGTCATAAAATTTGTAGATGTCAATAAAATCGAAAATCTAAGTTCTAAATCATTCTCTTGAGAAATATGGCTTTAGACAATTGTAAGAAAGCAATTTTTTATATGTTCTTTTCATATTCTCATAAATGTCTCGTGACGCTAAATTTCAATTTTTCTTTCTGACGTATAAAAATGATAAGCTTCAGAAATAATTGAAAAAAAAAGAACGAAACAACTAAGAAAAATCTTTCAATTTTTCTTATGACATAGGTCATTGAATACGAAACTGAACTATACATTTAGTCCTAAGCTATAGCATCTAATAAAAAAAAATGCAGTATGTAGACGTTTCCAATAACCTTCATTTTGAAAAAAGTGGAGACTTATTGGGGATAATCCAAAAATATTCACAGGATTTGAATTTTGCGTCAATAAAATATTGCCAATGAAAAAAAAAATAAATAAAAAAATTAAAAAAAAATGGCAACCCGCTGTTAAAAAATTAGCGCTACTCGATGTGGCTTTGTTTGCTCGTATTATTTAAAACTTGTTGAGTAATTTTTTATAGTGAGATTTCGACTTTGGGAGTTCAAAATAGGCCGCCCAGATCATGCATTTAGCATCATAGAACCTCTTTATTTGCAAAAAGTCTTTACGCTTATTTTAAAAAGCTCATACAGAAATAAAGTTGGGTATACTTTGATCTGTGCTTGATTAAAGCAAATAAAAAAAATAAAGCACATTAAAAGATACAGAAATGTACACACTGTAATTTCGATTCTACAAACAAGAACCTACCTCAGTGTCTAAACATAAAATGACAATAGAAAAATAACGGGACAAACAGGTTGCAATAAGAAAAAAAAAGTTGTTTAACTAGTGAGGGAAGAGGAACAAGATAATACACGTAGGGAGATTTAAGTAAGAATTTATTCAAAATCTTAGCTATTTGGAGACTGATATTCGGATAATAAGGTAAAACAAGCAAGGTAAGTGAAAGTTCGAGTTAAAAAAGTTTGTTATATTCCGTGCCGTGAGAGTCTCTTGAAACTTGTTTTTTTATCTTTGTACCTTTATTTGTACCTTTATTTTTGGTGGCTGGGTGTCGCAGTTGGTTTGTCGTCGGTCTGAGCCCAAGTCTACGGGTTCGATCCCCGGCCCAGACACCGGATTTTCGGGAAGCAGAAAATCCTCAGAGACCATGTCGTATGATTATGCGGCATGTAAAAGATCCCTGGAGTGCCTTATTGGCTCTTGGCATTTCCGGCAAAATTAAATTCCTAGTGCACTTTAGCATCCAAATAGAGTCTCGATGTTGCCATCCAGTGTGGTAGAAACTAGATGTCCAAATTAACATGATCAACGGTATCTCACCCATCGTGGTGGTCCTGAAAGAGTGGATACCACCTCTGGAGAACGTACTAGGTCTGCTCATCGGCAAGTCCGATTGTGCAGCTCATTGGAAAAAAAAAACAACCTTTATTTGTACGTTATTTATGATGTATTGCTTTATTTAAGCTTGCACTTATCCTCGCTTTGAGGAAAGAAATAGAACGCTACATCAATGAAATTCAACCATGTTTATGCATAATGGTCATTGAAAATTTTGGCAAAAGAGTGCGTTCAGGCCAACAAAACTGCACAAGCAATTCCCTATATAACTCTATAGTTAAAGGATGGATAAAAAAAATCTAATTTCTCAACAAAAAAAAAATCTGAGTATTGTTTAAATTTACTTCTTGCATGAATTTTGGCCCACGCTCGAATCATTAAAAAGTTTTATTATTTAATTTAATACAGTTTTAAAAAGACAGTTTTAGGAATATTTGCGTAGTTTAAGTAAATATAATTATATTATAATACAAAAATATAATAAAATAAAGGCAATATTTTGATCTTTATTACTAGAAATAGTTACTACTGGAAAAGATACTAGAAACAGTAATTATCACAGACCTTATCACTCCTTATCACGGGGAAAATAATTCTAGACTACCATAACTTGCCATTGTAATCTTTCATAATTATTATCTAATATTGCTATCATTGTTTCTTCGTTTATTTTCTGAGTTACATATTTATTTACAGAGTATCGTCATTTTAAATAATCATACGCATATAAATCCATCTAGGATTATTGCTGTTTGTAATAAACGCTAGTATAAACACAAAAGCTTAATTTTTCATGAAAGTAATTCAGATTTATAAAATTAAAAAAGAATAATACTGAAATGTATGGTAACCATATTTTTATTAAGACAAAAAATGGTAGAAAGAAATGAAGCCATGGATGTGCATTTTAGAATTTATATCAAGATATTGATTTTTTTTTCAGGTGTAGAATTTCGATTGAAATTTTAACAATTAAATTGTATCTAAATAGTAACGTAAATTTTTTATGATACACATACTTTCTAAAAAGAAATAACTAACTATCATTCTACAATATGTTTGATGAAAAAGCTGTAAGTAAAACTCAACTTCCTTATTAAATTCTTTTGAGTTTCATTTATCACCTCACGTGTACAACAGTGCCTAATTTGATTGGTCCTTGTAAAGGTTTGCAACCTTTATAACAACAACATATGCTAATTAGAAAAAGTTAATAAAATCTGTTTAATTTAATTAACAAATTAATGAATAAAATAGTTATTTTTCAATGAAAATTTAAAATGATTTCGAAAACAATTTTAAACTTGCATTTTAACTTAAATTAGTTCTAATTCCGAAAATATTTATTTCAAAATGTTCTTATACATGTTTTTTTAAATTTCTGTTCTTATTCTCCCTTTCCCTAAAAATATTTGACCATATTTGAATCCAGGAACATTATTTGCTTTTGTCTAGAACAAACCATATTTAGTTCTATCTAACAACATACAAAAGTTATTAAAAATCACCAACGTTTTTTGTTTCAAAAATTTATTTTTTGATTTAAATTTGAAGTATTGTGTTGTTTAACTGCTATTCAAAATATTTATAATGAATTCTTTCAGGCTGTTGACATTATCGTTTTCCCAGAAGGTATGCTTTTTACCGCCATCAATGATTTCAGCACAAATCGCACAGTTTTGATTGACACAATCGCTAATGATATACCAAATCCTGCTAATGGCGATTTCAACCCATGCGACCAAGAAGAAGATTTTAAAGATCATTTTCTGCTTAGAATTCTGAGCTGTATGGCGAAATCTAATGAATTTTATGTAGTGGCCAACATGGTGGACTACAAACTATGCCGAAATAACGATGATACATCCGATAAAAATGCCACTACAAACTGCTCCGATAAAAGCGAATGTCCAGAGGATGGTTTTTATCTTTATAATACCAATGTTGTGTTTAACAGGGAAGGAAAGCTTGTTGCAAGATATTACAAGAAGCATCTTTACAACGAACCAGCCATGAATCCTACAAAATGTTATCAAAATGGCAACTTTGAAACAGATTTCGGAAATTTCACAACATTTATTTCTTTTGATATATTATTTAAAGGAGCCATTGAAGCCGTACAGCAAAAGTACGTTGACAATTTAGCACTTTCTACAAACTGGCATGATCAAACGCCATTTTTTCTATTTGCACATGTTTTAGGGCAGTCTTATTCTCTTTTTAATCAAATTAATACTCTCGGAGCCAACGCTCATGTACCTGGAAAAGGTTCGCTAGGAAGTGGTATATTTTCGGTCATTAATGGAACTTTAATGGCGACTCATCAACCTGATGCCCAAACTAAACTCCTAATATCGAATGTTCCAAAGTTTCCAAAAAACTACACTGCTACATCTCACGATTTGATGCGGAAACGATACCATTTAGTGAACAATACTTTTGTTGCCGCACCGTTGTTGGATGAAATAAAGCTGCACGATCTATGTGAGGAGAAATACGTAGGACCCGTTAATAATACAAATGAAGACTATCGTTGCCAATCTCCCAATCTTGCAGACTTCAAATTTAAGAAGCTTTTGAAGGTAAACGATACAATTGATCTTTGTAGCAATTTATTTTGTTGCTCTTTAGTTTACAAGGCATTTTCTATGAATGAAGATTACTTTTTAGCTGTTGAAGCTTTAAATGTCACAATTTATAATATGAGTCATTTTTATAGTGAATCATGCTTTCTTGCTCGTTGTAAATTGAAAAGCAATAATACCTGTTCTAGTTTGTTTTTAAACTCTGAAACAATATTCGAAGAAGTCACATTAAAAGGGAACTTTACTCAAAAGTTTATCTTTCCAACTTCAGTAGACAGCAGTGTAAGACTTACAAGAAAAGAGAAATGGTCATTTGATGGCAAACATCAAATAGTTTACAAGAATCCAACAGGTAATTCCTCGCTTTTGTTTCTTGGTTTAGAGGGTAGGGATTACCCAGATCCTTAATCTCATACTAAGTGTGGTAGGCGTAACAATCAGCATATATTTCACAACTTATATATATCTGTGACACGGAGCCAGTAGATCCCTTCTGAATTGTTTGAACTGTTGCCGTTCGTAAAGAGATGAAAAAGTTAAATTTGTTTAAATCTCAGAGTTGAAGATATTTTTCTCTTCTCTCTTTTTATGAAAACAAATAACTTAGAGTTACTTATAATATTTTAATAACAATATTTTTAATCGAAATATGATACACCAAAGCACTGATTGTATTTTTTACATTAACTTTTCATTGAAATAAGCATTCACGTGAAATATGAATTATCAAATTAAGAATATGGTTAGTGTAAGTTAAGATATTTGTTAATTTTTTAATATACACATTTATAGTGTTTTTCTTACATATTTATTTGAAATATTATGAAACAATATTTATGCTAAATAAACAATTTACGACGCCATGTAGAAACTATGAACTGAATAGTTCGTAAAGTAAGTCAAGAGAATGTTAACAGCTTAAAAGTGGAAGAGAATCGGAACAATACCACTGGCTCTCTTCTATAGAATTCATAGAATGTTTTCAGAATTCATGTAACCGAGAAACTTGTCAAATCGCAGAGTATGGATTTATCTGTTGCTATGGAAACAAGAAAAGCGCTTATCAAAAAGAAGAACTTTTGAAACTTCTTTCACCGTCCAGAATCAAAACATGTTCAGAATGTTTATCCCAAAATCCGAATTAAAAAAGTTAAACCAAACTTCGTAACCATATTCTCCGACAGTGCTTCAAATCAGTGTGGTTTCCGAAAGATGTTCCGTGAAACCTTAAGGTTCAAAGGAATATCCTTTGGTCATAGGAGTTTTGAGAACTTTAGGATAGCAATGACTTTTGAAAACTTTTATTATATATATGTTTAATCAATAATCCATTAATTATTTAGTATTTTGGTTGTATGCCAAAGAAAAAAAAATTTAAAAGTAAAAAAAAAAATTTTTTTTTCTAGTGACAATATATTAAATAAATAATGAAAAAAATATGCATATTAATATTTCCTATCGAAATTTTTTAATCCGAATAAAATAATTAAATTAACAATAGAGAAATATGTTTCTCCGGTGCCAATTCATATTACTGATATTGATAAAACGATGAAATTTCATTTAAAAACTCTTTCTGTTAAATGTTTTCAAAATTAGTAGCCTTTCTTGGTTTCACATGTTCGCAATTTATAGTAAACTTATTTATTACGTCTGAGCTCTGCTAAAACTATATCAATAATTATTTGTTTATTTTCGCACTCATTTGCCAATAAACAAGTATTTTTTTTAAGGATAAATTGCTATTTAAAGGTTCATTATAATGTAAGGCATTTCGTTTTCAAGTTTATAAATTAGTAAATATTTTTTTGTTCAACATCGTTGCAACGGAAAATGAAATTATAAAAAACTGGAACAAATAAACATTGGAATAGAAATTATGAAATATTAATTTATTTTTCATTTATTATAAGACCTTAAAAAATAGAAAATTATTACTATAATTTTTTACCTTTAAAATGATTCAGGTAAAAAGTTTAAGAAATGTAGTATCTGTAACAATGTATCTTTTATAATATCATAGTACAAATACTAAGCATTGAATTATGTACATATTTATCATATTTTGTTTGTTTTGTTGCATTGTTTAATGGAAACAAAATTAAATAATTTCCCTTCCAAGTTTTCCTGATTCGTTTTTCTTTCTCTTCATTGACATTTATTTATTTATTCTTTCTGTTTTTAGTTAATGAACAACACGCACATATATTGCATTAGGTAAAAGGAGTTAAAAACATTATGTTACCTTATAATTTGCATCCATTTTGATTCTTCAGCCAATGAATTTTTAATTTAGAATTTTTTAAAATTTTGAGAATTTTAGGTATAAGAAACTACGAGGTGAAAATTTTATAATTAATTACTATGGGGGCTATAACCCGCCTGGCCCGCCGCGTGTGTTGATTTTCAATCCAGTGACCTTTAACGATCCGTTCTCATGTTTGGCACTTTCTTAAATAAATTAATAAAACAAAAACTTGATTCTTTCTTTTATTTCAGGTAACAAATTAAATTTTTTTTTATAAAAGTGAGTATTATAAGGTACTAACTACATCCAAGAGGAAAATCTCCAAAAAGAGAGCTTGTCGTTAAAGGCTGCCGGATTGTAAATTAGCTCCCTGTTCATGCACTTACAGTGTAAAAATTTTTGTATGTGTCTGAATACCAAAAATGAAGGTAACTACTTGAAACCAAATTGGTGCTCCACTACACCAAGTACCAAGGATAGTTCCGGGTGTAGTGAGACACCTAGGATGTTCTTTTACGTTACTTGTTGTAAAATAACCGCTACCATGTTTGTTAATTAGTAACACTAAAATTTATAATTACAGTAAGATATTATACGCATAAGAATCAGTTACAGTAAGATATTATACGCACAGCAACACTAAAATTTATAATTGCAGTAAGATATTATACGCATAGTAACACTAAAATTTGTAATTACTGTAAGGTATTATACGCATAGTAACACTAAAATTTATAATTACAGTAAGATATTATACACATAGTAACGCTAAAATTTATAACTACAGTAAGGTATTATACGCATAATAACACTAAAATTTATAATTATAGTAAGATATTATACGCATCATAACACTAAAATTTATAATTACAGTAAGATATTATACACATAGTAACACTAAATTTATAATCACAGTAAGGTATTATTCTCATAGTAACACTAAAATTTATAATTACAGTAAGATATTATACGCATAGTAACACTAAAATATATATTTACAGTAAGATATTATACGCATAGTAACACTAAAACTTATAATTACAGTAAGATATTATACGCATAAGAATCAGTTACAGTAAGATATTATATGTATAAGGATCAGTTGTAATAAGATATTATAACTGATGCTTATGTGTCAGTCAGAAGACAGACGCATAAGAAGACTATAACTGATTCTAATGCGTCATTCTTACGTATTAGTTATCATAAGTTATTTTTTTAATACAATGTAAAGCAAGAATCATAAATTTAGCATGCATGAATAAAATATTTCTTAAAATAAAAATAGTTTGTTAACCAAAAATGCATGCACCGCAGAGAAAATATTAATATTAATTCGAACTAGGCTTAACAAAACCGAAGCAAATAGAAATTAAGTGTTATAAAATTATTTAAAACAGTTCATTATTTAATACAATACATTAAAATACAGTTTATAATTTAATACAGTTCATCATTTAGTACAATACTTTAAAAATTAAAATATAAATATCCTTATTACACGACTAAAACATGCATATTTTAATGGCGAACTTTTGCAATTTATTTTGTTGCTCTNAAACATGTTCAGAATGTTTATCCCAAAATCCGAATTAAAAAAGTTAAACCAAACTTCGTAACCATATTCTCCGACAGTGCTTCAAATCAGTGTGGTTTCCGAAAGATGTTCCGTGAAACCTTAAGGTTCAAAGGAATATCCTTTGGTCATAGGAGTTTTGAGAACTTTAGGATAGCAATGACTTTTGAAAACTTTTATTATATATATGTTTAATCAATAATCCATTAATTATTTAGTATTTTGGTTGTATGCCAAAGAAAAAAAAATTTAAAAGTAAAAAAAAAAATTTTTTTTTCTAGTGACAATATATTAAATAAATAATGAAAAAAATATGCATATTAATATTTCCTATCGAAATTTTTTAATCCGAATAAAATAATTAAATTAACAATAGAGAAATATGTTTCTCCGGTGCCAATTCATATTACTGATATTGATAAAACGATGAAATTTCATTTAAAAACTCTTTCTGTTAAATGTTTTCAAAATTAGTAGCCTTTCTTGGTTTCACATGTTCGCAATTTATAGTAAACTTATTTATTACGTCTGAGCTCTGCTAAAACTATATCAATAATTATTTGTTTATTTTCGCACTCATTTGCCAATAAACAAGTATTTTTTTTAAGGATAAATTGCTATTTAAAGGTTCATTATAATGTAAGGCATTTCGTTTTCAAGTTTATAAATTAGTAAATATTTTTTTGTTCAACATCGTTGCAACGGAAAATGAAATTATAAAAAACTGGAACAAATAAACATTGGAATAGAAATTATGAAATATTAATTTATTTTTCATTTATTATAAGACCTTAAAAAATAGAAAATTATTATTATAATTTTTTACCTTTAAAATGATTCAGGTAAAAAGTTTAAGAAATGTAGTATCTGTAACAATGTATTTTTTATAATATCATAGTACAAATACTAAACATTGAATTATGTACATATTTATCATATTTTGTTTGTTTTGTTGCAATGTTTAATGGAAGCAAAATTAAATAATTTCCCTTCCAAGTTTTCCTGTTTCGTTTTCCTTTCTCTTCTTTGACATTTATTTATTTATTCTTACTGTTTTTAGTTAATGAACAACACGCAGATATATTGCTTTAGGTAATAGGAGTTAAAAACATTATATTACCTTATAATTTGCATCTATTTTGATTCTTCAGTCAATGGATTTTTATTTTATAATCTTTCAAAATTTTGAGAATTTTAGGTAAAAGAAACTACGAGGAGAAAATTTTACAGTTAAATAATATGGGGGCTATAACCCGCCTTACCCGCTCCACGTGTTGTTTTCCAATCCAGTGGCTTTTAACGACCTGTTCTCATGTTTGGCACTTTCTTAAATAAATTAATGAAAAAAAAAAACTTGGGTTCTTTACTTTATTTCAGGGATCAAATTTAAAAAAATAATAAAAGTGAGTATTATAAGGTACTAACTACATCCAAGAGGAAAATCTCCAAAAAAGAGAGTTTGTCGTTAAAGGCTGACGGATTGTAAATTAGCTCTCTTAGTACACACTTTCAGTGTAAAAATTTTTATGTGTGTCTAAACACCAAAAAGGAAGGCAACTACTTAACACCAAAGTGGTGTTCCGCTTCACCATGTACCAAGGATAGTTCCTGGTGAAGTGGGACACCAAGAATGTTCTTTTACGCTACTTGTTGTAAAATAGCCGCTACCATGTTTGTTATTTAGTGACACTAAAATTTATAATTGCAGTAAGATATTATACGGATAAGAATCAGTTACAGTAAGATATTAGCTACACTAAAATTTCTAATTACTGTCAGATATTATACATATAGTAACACTAAAATTTATAATTATGGTAAGATTTTATACGTAAGAGAATCAGTTACAGTAAGATATCGTATGCGAATCAGTTACAGTACAGATATTATACCCAAAGTAACACTAAAATTTATAAATACAGTAAGATATCATACGCATAAGAATCAGCTACAGTAAGATATTATACGCATAGTAACACTAAAATTTATAATTACTGTAAGATATTATACGCATAAGAATCCGTTACAGTAAGATATTATACGCATAGTAACACTAGAATTTTTAATTATAGTACGATGTAACGATGTACACGTAAGAATCAGTTACAGTAAGATATTATACGCATAAGAATCAGTTACAGTAAGATATTATACGCATGGTAACACTAAAATTTATAATTACAGTAAGATATTATACGCATAAGAATAGTTACAATAAGATATCATATGCATAGTAACACTAAAATTTATAATTACAGTAAGATATTATACGCATGGTAACACTAAAACTTATAATTACAGTAAGATATTATACGCATAAGAATCAGTTGCAGTAAGATATTATAAGCATAAGGATCAGTTATAATAAGATATTATAAGTGATGCTTATGCGTCAGTCAGATGACACACATAAGAAGACTATAACTGATTCTAATGTGTCATTCTTATGCATCAGTTATCATAAGTTATTTTTTTGTTACAACATAAGGCAAGAATCATAAATTTAGCATGCATATATACAATATTTCTTAAAATAAA